TAGTGATGGGCCATGTCAAAGTGAGGAGAGAGCGTGGAGGGTGTGAAGGAATTAAAGAGTGTCAGGTCAGTTTCTAATGAGCATCTTCATAGTAGGATGAATATGACAAAGTCCTCACAGCTGGAGTGGTCACAGAGTGTGACAGGCTGTGTGACGACACGTCCTCCCACTCAGACTCTGATGAAGATACTGTACTTGTCCCTCCTCCACTTCAGTTAGGGAAGAAACTCACATCATACTCTCATCATACTGGGAGGCCTTTACATTCGTCAATAAAAGTGTGGACTCAACCTTTTACTGGAGTGAGAATAAACGTGAACCAGGCATTTATTCATAGCAACAACAGTTTACTGGAGGGCTTCATGTTAGCTTAACAGCTAAAAGTTAGCCAGCCAAATCAATTCTAAAAGTTAAAATCTGTAAGAGACATCAATAATTTAGTTCTTATTCTGTGCTACATGTTGTGTAGAATAAGACCCAGCCCTAAAACCAATGCTCAAAACCTGTGGATTTATTTCTCTTCGTACTGTGTCGTGTCTCTGCCACACGTATCCTCTCTGTCCTGACATCATCTCCAGGCAGGACTCCCCTGCCACTGCTGCTCCGCTCTGATAAAAAGAAGGTTAAAGTCAGATGTCCATCACCGGCCTCCTGTTGGTCCTTCATCTGGCTCTCGGCCTGGAGCGCAGCACCTCCTGCCTCAGGAGCATATGTAGTGATGAAGGAGCAGCAGGAGCTTTGGTTGGACACCAGATTCTTATTTTTCACAGCAATTGACAAAACAAACAGAAGGTGAGAAGAGACGTGTAGAAGTGTAGACCCAAAAGTCTGGCTCGGGGGCCAATTGTTGTACTTGGTGCTTGGACACAATATTGACATATTTAGCTACTTCTCTAGTTTCAAATTAAAATCCATTCTTAGATTCGATTGTTTTATTTTCACTAACAAGTTCAAAAACAAGTTGGGAGAAACTCAAAGAAAGATTATGTATGTAATTAAAAATTGTGTTCAGTCATATTTTGTTTTTACATCCAATTTAGGAACAGCTTTTCAAAATATATAAATAAAAGCAAAACAAGACACAAAATTCATAACATTTTACAGGTGATATGTACAAAAGTGAGAGTTTCAGTCACGATGTTCTTCACCTCCGGGGCTCAGTGTCTGTGAAGGAAACCAAAATGGCATCATTGTCATAAATGAAGTTTATTCTTTAAATTATGTTTAAAAAAAACACCAAAAAACCAAAGTGGAGGACTAACCCTTTCTCTCCTTCCCACACCAGATCTGACACTCCTGTCGAGTGGAGAATCGGTTCCTGTTCCCCCCACAGCCGCTGTAAACAAACGGTCTGCACTCTCTCGACCGCGGGTGAAAGTACCAGAGCAGGACGTAGTCTGAGCAGCTGCCTTCAGTCATGGGCTCCAGACAACGGTCTGAAGATGACAAAGGAGAGTCTCGTTAACATTTTTCACATTCTTCTGTCAATGAAAACGTGAGCTGCTCGAGCTGATGTAATCTATTTCAGCCAATGTCTGAATAACTCTGGCATTTGCTCTGGTAACAGCCTTTTTAAATAATATTTGAGCTCCTCCTGTTTTAGCAGACCTTTAGCTTCTCCTGCTAAAAGTGAAACCTCTGATGCAAAGTCCAGTCCAGAGTGGTGAGTCACTGTCCCTGCATGCCTGACGAGATGCAGACTTGATGAGACGGACGCTCCTTTTATATATTTTATATCTGGATGTAGCAGATTCATTACATGATCATTGTCTGAGTTACTAATAACGCAATGTCATCTCTGCTGATGTAAAAGTTTAGTCATCACATTCTTCGGAAAATGTTTTCTTCTCCACTCTCTCACTCGTCTTGTGCTTTTAATTATTCATAGATATGGCAACAGAGGAGAAACCAGGACACAGATCATTTCCATGGTTCTGTTTTGCAATAGTAGAGAAGAAAGACAAGCAAACATGTGGAAAGATAAGAGTTAAATCTATCAAGTGACTCACCATCAGAGTTGAATCCAAACACTCTTCTTTTTCTCCTCAGTCCTGACTCTGAAGACTCTGAAGTCAGAAAAAAAAATTTCATTCAATCAAAAGATTCATTCTCTTAATGCCTTCAACCTGAGCATCTGAATTCTTGGCTCATTTTAACAATATTTCATGCAACAAGATAGATATATATCCAACATTAGGTTAGTTGTTATAAAATGTAAAGGAAAAGTAGCTGAGATAATGAGCTCATCAGTTCCAGATGAAGTTCTAGACCCAGAACATATTAATATTGTCTCCTCCTCTCACCGTGTTGCAGATCAATTCTCCGCTGAAGTGGGCGCAGGTGACAGGTTCCATTTATCCCTCAGTCAGATTAAAGTGCAAACACTGACCTCTGGGGTCGACTTGGCTTCGTTCATTGTTGGGCCCCACAGTGAGGACTTAGGTAATGATTTATGAAAAAGCTCAGTGACACTGACAGAGGCCAGTGGGAGACTCTCTGTGATTGGTTTTTCTGGAGACACTGACCTGAAGACACCACCAATCAGATGCAGATACTTGTCCTCCGCCTCGGGCCATTGAACTAATGAGCTTTATGAGACGTGGTTTGATGGATGGCTGTTGTTGCTGAGTGATGACACAATCTAATGCCTCGTTATGTTGACGCTCACAACATCAACATGAGGTAATAATTATGTTTGTTTCTGTGGTCTGCCCAAAAAAGATGAATGATATGAAAAAAGCTGAGGGGACTGGTTTTACTTCAGGTGAAATTCAAGTACTTCTCAAGACTTTTTCAAACACTGTGTAGCTACTATCCTGGCTAATATTTAGCTAATTTCATTAGCTAAAAATGAGTTATTTAGTTGTTTTTTTTTTTGTCACAGTGTCATGCAGTTTGGTCAGTTTTACCCGGCGGGTTAAGCAGCATTCTTCTCCATATTTCCCGAGATCCGGAACGGTGCCGTTCTCCATCCTTCCTTCATCCTCCAGCTCTTCATCCTCCTCCTCTTCTTCAGGGAAGTCACGAGACACATCTGGATCGTTTATATCCCCTGTCACTGCTGTCGTTCCATCTGGATCCACTGACTTCACCATGAACTTGTATTCCAAACCTGGAAAAGTTTCACCAACACCGGATGTTGATACGGTTGGTCTCGTGCTTCACTTCAGTACATGAACAAAGGTGTAGCTTTAGCTCAATCATTTGGGAGGTTTCAGCCTAATTAAGCTTTTAGTTTCCAGAAAGTCAGTCTGTTCTGACTCCAGTCTCCTGTTTGTTAATGGTTCTACTGCCGTTGGCACCAGTGAAAATGTTCCTCTGTGAGAACAAACCAGAGCAGATGGTGCAGCACATATGGACGCCCTGCTGCTGCCCCACTACTTACACAACAAACACTTACACAATAAACAGAGACCCCTACAGGCACATTTATGCATTCTTGGATCTATAAATCCACACAAGGTGGAGCAGGTGGGTCCAATGGTTGGCCCTCGGACCTGTTGTGGCACGAAGACCAATTTTATGTGGCTCAAAATGTTTTTTTTTATGGTTGGATTTCTAAAATGGTGGTAAAATCACACTTTTAAATGGTGACCTTTGACCTTTGAAATGTTTATACATATCTTACCAATTTTACTATTGTTTTTATTATATATATATATATATTTTAATTATCACTGGGATTTTAAGCTTTCTGTTTTTTAAGATAACTTCTAACATTTGGTAAAAATTCTGTACTAATATACTCTTTAACAATTTCATTAGCATTTTAATTCACACGTCTCCCCCTCCCCCCAAAAGAGCCCATAGAAAGGTCACACTTACCGCACTTCACCACAACTTCCTGTGTCACCAACTCCTTCACCTCTCCAGTCTTAAAAAAAAACAAAACATTGTTATTCACTGTTTTCCACAGTGCTAGACTAGTGTTTGTGTCTGGATGTGTTGGATTTGAACACATACTGAAAGTCCAGGTTCTCCCTTCTCACCCTTGGCTCCAGGTTTTCCCAAAATACCCTGAGATTAAAGAAAAAAAAAAACAGTTAAAATATTAATTATGATTTTTTACAGCTCCATAGTATGATGACTGATCTCAATGTTTTGACTTTTTAACTCAAAATATAATGAATAATTTAATTTTTGAAATAATAAATAGTATCAAGTTATATAACATATTGATATCAAGAATTTCCCTTCCTTATCAGTTTGTCTTTTTTTGCTTATAATCTTGATATTTGTTCCATATTGTGATATTTTGTGTCCTATTTTGTTTCCTTTCAGTTTATTTATTTATTTATTTATTAATATTGGCATTTTCTATTTATTTAGAACTCTTAGGATGAAAATAATTCCCTCCAGAATACCTAAAAATATATATTTTAAAATTTTTATTTATTGGAATATTTATGACACTTATGACAATATTTTACCTTCTACCAATTTTTTTGTTTTTTTACCTGTAGTGTAAGATATTTTTGATTCTCTTAGTCACAACTAGAAATGACACACACTTGCGTGCAGCACTTTTCCTCTCTGGAGTATTACTATTACTACTAGCAGCAGTCGTCGCATCTGCTGTTTATGTCACGCATCTGTCGCAGCCATTCTCACGCTGCAGATGGCGCTGCCAGAGACATTTAAGGGATCCAATCCTGGACCTTACAGTATAAATCTGACCCCCCCCCTCCTATACTATGAGAGTGACGTGAGCCTCACACTCTGTCCTCCTAGTCCTGGCGCTCCTGGTTCTCCCTTCTGACACGGCTTGACTCTCCCTCTTCGCCCTCTCTCCCCCTGTTGGACCAAAGCAGCAGCTTTAAAAAAAACACCTACATATAAGACTTCGACTGTATGTCAACAATTCAAGAAATACAGAAAAAAGCATCTGCTTCATCACAGCTTCACCTCATCCCACATGTACAGATTATACTAAAGGAGAGTCGGTGTTGGTTAGAGGCCACTGTCTGACGACACTGCAGCGTGCTCTAACTGCAGCTGAAAGGAGCTAATTGACGACAAGATTATTTGAAAGCTGCAGACAAAAATAAACCTGAGCGTAGCGTGTGTTTGTGTGTTACTTGGACAGCTATAGCGTTGTGGGGACATTTATTTCTTATCGAGACACGTTGAATCTGAGTGAAAGGACATTGTTCATTTCAGATAAATATAATCTAATCAAAAGACCTTCTATTTTAACACATGAATTTTTCATTATTAATATCATAATTAGAACATCACAGTAATGGCTTAATGATATAAAACCATGTGTGTCATTTATACTGTATTAGTAACTTGGTACCTTAGGACCGGCACTACCACGTGGACCTGGTGGTCCAGGAGGGCCATCGTCTCCTTCTCTTCCTGGAGTTCCCAGTGAGCCCTTAAAGCCTGGGAACCCTGGGAAACCGGCTACACCCTGAGAGAAAAGAAGTTTAAAACGGTCTCTTTAAATGCAGAGAAATATTCAAACATTCAAAGAGTCACATGAAATACAAAATAAAAATACATCATGAATGATGAAATGCTAAATCCTTGCTCACTTTTTCTCCTTTTTCTCCAAGATCTCCATCAACTCCACTGGTTCCTGCGCCTCCTTTGTCTCCCTGAAATAATAGGAAAAATTGAATTTTTTTTTTGAAAAATCTGAATAAGTAAAGGTTTTGCATACTTTACCTTGCGTCCTATGAGTCCGTTTAATCCAGGCATTCCAGGTGTGCCATGTATTCCCATATCTCCCTGAGTTATAGAGAAGACACATTATATATAATCTATAGATTACTGATGCTGTGAACTCTTTTTATATACTGTTCTGGTTTAATCTGGTTTTCACTGAGTTTGCACCTTTTCTCCATTCAGACCTGGATTCCCACTGCGTCCAGGAAAACCCCTGAAACCCTGTAGAAGGAGGTAAAAAAAAAAAAAAACCCTTAGAGCCCAAACACAAAAGAGAAACAACCTGAGGAATAAATGCAATCAATATTCACTGTCTCCACCTTCTCTCCTTTCTCCCCTTTGTCTCCAGGTAAACCTGGTTCTCCAGGATCTCCCTGAAAAAAAAGTAACATCATTAATAATCATTTTCATGAAAACAGCTCTTTTTTGCAAATAAATCTGAAATAAAATACCTGATCACCCTTTTGACCCTGCAATCCTTTGTCTCCCTTGTCGCCTTTGGTCCCGTCCACTCCATGATCCCCATTTCGCCCCTGAATTTACATCATAAACATTATACAGAAGACAGCTAAAATCAGCAACAAAAACCAACATTTCAGGCTGCACTTGTTAAGCAATAAAAAGTTCAAATTTAGAAAAAAACATCGTTAAAATACAATTCAAAAAAAGGCCTACAAATGACTAGCAGTAAGCAAAAAAAAGCTGAAATGAAATGTAACAAAAATGACAAATATAATTGTTTGTTTCACCTTCACTCCGTTGAGTCCTGGTTCTCCTGGATCTCCCTGTAGAGTTGATGTGATGAAGACTAGTAAATACAGTGCAGTGAAGGACCAGATCAGTGAATTTGAACTAAAATAATGACCTTCTGTCCAACAGGTCCTCGTGCTCCAAACCGCCCTAACGCACCCTTGGTGCCGGCGTCTCCCTTCGAACCCTGAAAAAAAGTCACGTTTTAACCACATGATATTAGGTTTAATGAGATAAAGGCAGAACCACTGAAAAAAATCAATGATGGTCTGAGAGAATCTTAAAAAAGTCTGGAGTCCCTATCAAATCCTTGTCAAATGTTCAGAAGAATTTCTTTTCTTGTCTTTTTGGATCAGATGTTCTGACCTTGTATCCAGGAGGACCGTCTTCGCCTTTCTCTCCTTTGTCGCCATCAAATCCTGGGGGGCCACGCTCACCCTGAAACAGGAAGTCTAGATGAATCAAGTGTTGATTCAATTTTTTGTATTTTTTTAACAGAGCATGCTAGAGTGTGTTAGTTGGAGCTGTAGTTTATTTCTATTACTTATTTATTGTTTTTTTGTTTTTGTTTTTTTTTTATGTGCGACAGCGCCCTTCCAGCAGGTGGCAGTTGCAACAGAATTCTCATCTTACCGGGTCACCTTTGGAGCCCTTAAACCCACGTGGCCCTTGGATTTGAAGAGTGCTCCCCTGCACAGAGACAGAATTGTGACTGTGAGTGGATGCACACACATAATAAAGTAATCACTGCAGATCCAGAAGCAGTTTTTCCTCTTCAGCTGTACACCTGTCATATAAGACTCTCCATCACACCCCATGTGGCGCTCAGTAGTAATTTGCTCAACTGTGAGAAAATCAGAAAAAAGACACTTGTCCAACAGAGCATCATGAAAGTCACCGTACCCGTTCTCCTTTGACTCCAGAAATCCCACGGTCTCCCTGAAGAAAAAAACATCAACATCAATCTCAACACGACTTCCTAAAACGTCATTTCTCCTTTGTTGTCATTTCATCTGCAGACCACTTCATATCGCACACGACAAAATTGCACCGGAGCTGGTTTTTATTACGTCCTATAATCGAGTTTTAATATAATCCACGTCTGATAAAACGTCAGCGGAGGTCGTAGCCGTAGATTAACGTGGACAGTTTTGGCCAGTGTGATTGTGATAAATAAATCACGAAACAACGGAGACGAGCGGAAACAAACAAACAAACAAACCAACAGACAAATAATCAAAGCTGACGCCAGAGTGACCCATAACTGACATCGTCGTCGTTGGAGGCATTTAAATATTAATGAGACGCTGCTATCACACAGATTAAAGGAGTCTGCAGAACCATCTCTCACCTCAGTCATGGACATAAAGATGTGAAAAAAAGCCACAGGATAGGTCAAAGGATTATCTCTCAGGAACAGCAGAAATTCTTTACCTTTTTTTGCATTAATGCACATAAATTCGACAGTTTTTTTGAGCAGCGTAACTGGAACATTGTTGACAGAAAAATAAATGTAAAACTGAAAAATGTCATAAAAGGTAATGAGAATTTGTTGACTGGCTCAGAGATACGGAGAAACAGATGATTGAAATACAGTGCTCTCTATCCAGCCGGTGATGCTCTGTTGTTATTGCATTTCTAAATAGGGAACATTCTTAACCTTCGGAAAGGTTTATTTTTGGAGCTATGTTTTTTTTTAAATTACAAATAACAGAAAAATGATATAATAAAATGGGAACAACAATATGTGACTAGACATTAAGCATAAACACAGCGACAAATCAGAAAAAAGGCAAAAATAAGATGAAATAAAAATAAATGAAAACAACACTAAAAGGGTACTGAGGAGATTGCTCAAGCTTGATACAGAAATAGCACTGGAAAATAGAGAAAAATGATTGCGATTTTAGCTAAAATTCACCAAAACAAACAAAATCAGATGGCGGTTAGACACAGGTTCGGCTAAAGGTAAGCACTGAAGTAGCTAAAAGTAGGCAAAGACATTTCATGTCTTAAAGTTAGCTGAAAATATGTAAAATTTAGCTTAAAAACTAAATGAAATAAAGGTTAATCATGGAGTCAGCTAAGGGATAGCACAGAAAAAGGTAAAAAAAAAAGTTGTCTACTACATAGCTACAAATACTGTATCTAGAAGAAAACAAATACACAACAAAAACATCAAGCACTACTCTAAGTTGTGAATATTCAAATAATAATGGACACTCACCTTGTCCCCCTTCCCACCTCTCAAGCCTTTTAGACCCTGGTTTAAAAAAGGTGAAAAACGTTTTTTTCATCCTCTTTAGACCCTGGTTTAAAAAAGGTGAAACATTTTTTTTTTCATTCTTATGCACAGAAATGCATCTGTAATGGCTTTAAAATAATCATAAATACTGTTAAGTAGATAAAAAGTTCAGAAAAGTGATTTACTATGTGTCCAGGAGCTCCTTTGACACCTGGAACACCTGTTTCACCCTGGACGACAAATGAATAACCCAGGTTTTTTACACAGTGGACGATGAACAGAGTGAAGTAAATATGTTTTACAGACACAGAGTAGTAAAATAAAAAATCTCACTCTTCTGCCTGGGACACCTGCCAAACCTCTTGAACCGGGTCCACCAGGAATACTGTCGCCCTGATGAAAGAAAATAAAAAATAAAACAAACTTCTCTCTCTTTTCACAGGATCAAAGCTGAACAAAAACAACGCTGCCAACATGTTTAAATTAAAACCAAAAATAAATATTCACCTTTTCTCCTTTAACTCCAGGAGCACCTGGAGCTCCCTGTAGTTGGTGGAAAAAAGTTTTAAGACAAAACATTATCAAGATATTTAATCAACATGAGGTCACGTGTCTTCTCACCAGAGGTCCTGGAGCTCCCTGTGGTCCAGGAGGTCCTGGGGATCCATTCTTTCCACGCTTACCGCGCTCACCCTGGACCAACGACCAAACATCAACGGATGCTAAACTCAACCCTGTCTGTATCATTTTGGAAAAAATCTAATTACCTCTCTGCCTGCTGTCCCCGGGTCCCCTGGAGGCCCCCGTAGACCGGGAGAACCTTGGAACCCTGGGTTGCCACGAATACCTTGAATGCCTTGAGCACCTGGAGGTCCAGACTCACCAGGTTCACCCTGAGGTAAAAAAAAAAAACACTTGATAAAAGGTCACAGTTTCACATACAGGTTGATTTTCATCCACTTTATAACTGCTACTTATTTTAATCATTTATGTCATTTTAACTTCAGTCCTAGTAAAAGCTCAAAGTTAACTTTAAATGAGGGAGTGACTCACTGAGCCAATTAAAAGACACTAAATTAAAATCACAGCGAGACGCAGCGTCAATCAAAGTGATTGTGACAGGAAAAGCGTGTAAAGGTAATTAATTGAGTCAGGATGTTGGCAATTGAGCTGCTGCTGTTGCTGAGAAAGTATTTTAAATCATGGGGCAGGAAAATAATTTCACCTTGTGTCCTGGAGGACCAGCCTGACCTTCCGGTCCTCTGTGTCCAATCCCTGGTTCTCCCTGTGTGCACAAAACAAGGATTGGTCATCCAAACGGAAAAGAGAGTGAGTCACTTTGAATAAAAGAAAATATGGGTTTTCATATAGCTGATAATCTGGACATAATCTATTGTCTCATCTGTTAAATCCTCAATCCTGTTTTTAAGAAAAAAGACAATAAAACATGACTGGAGACATTAGACACTAAATGTAATTCATCCAGCTCCAATTTAACAGCTGTGACTCACACAGGCTGGGTCTATTCATGTGAAATACGTACTACACCTTGCCTTATTACAGGCATGGACAAACTAGGACCCGGGGGCCGAATATGGTCCTTCTCTTTTTAATCTGGCCCGCCGAGTTTGGTCAAATTATTTTATTAAATTATATTACGTACAGTTCACAGGACCACGGCTGCTGCATGTACATGTACACTGTGCTGTCAGTGGATTAGCTCGGTGCCGTTATCATGTCAGCTCGGTGGAGATGTTGCCGTTATCATGTCAGCTCGGTGGAGATATTTTACATGTTTTTTTTTTCGGCTATCCAAATAACCAACGCTTCTCTCTTAAACACAAAGCAACATCCACGTCCTGTATAAAATCTTTGCTCCGTACAAGTTGTTACAGATACAGTGTTTACCTTTTGTCCTTTTTCCCCAAATTCACCCTAAAAAAAGTGAGAGAGAAACAACGTTAGAAACTTTGTTTGATCTTCAAAACAGGTGTCAAAACACAGCAGAGGTTGAAATATAATAAAAAACAAAAACACAACAGTTCCCACGTTTAACAGAGAGAATTTTTAATATCATCTATAAACTGTCCTGCAGTCAAACAGAGAGAACGACATGAAAGGCCTGGACTCCACATGCTCTACTGACAGACCAGAAATGCTCAGATGCCAAGGTGCATTCTGGGTAGGAGGGAGAGAGGTGCTCTTTATTTTGTTGCCTCTGTCAGTGAAAAGTGTGAAAAGTTACAGTTCTGTATTTGGAAATGTATCTTTAATGATATAAAACTGCAGCTCTTCAACCGGGGGTTCGCGACCCCTGTTAGGTCTGCCGAAATGCTAAAAGCGGGTCAAGAAATTTTTTTAAAGTTTCCCCTTAAATTTTTTCCTAAAAATGAAATGTTTTTTTTTTTTAAATATTTTGTAGTGAATGGATAAATGAGATTCATTAAACAAACAAAAAAACAGAATCGAGTGAAATGACCCTGCTCCATTTCTCACAGTCCAGGAATACATAGTGTCAAAAATGCTGAAGATTCTTAATTATCAACTGCTGAGAATAATTAAAAATCTAAACAGAAAGTGATATCTTAATGGTATTTTCATCATGACCTTTTTTCCTGGTTTTCCCGTCTCCCCCGGTTGTCCCTGTTGTAAGGAAAAAACAGGATTAATTTTTAAGTAATCAAGGCCAAAACCACAGACCAAAAAGAAATGGATGTAGTTCAAGACTCAGAAAAAAGACTAGTAAACAATTAATGTGTGAGAGTTTGTGGGAATTTATTTATTTTTTTCTTTTAAATTTACAACATCTAAATGTATTCCTCTGGATTCAGGGATTAGTTTAAGCTCTTCTTTAATAAAATATAATCTTTGTCAATTTGGAGAAGATGCACAGAAGTGCACAACTGTCCAACTAGACCATTGGTCAACGTTACCTTGTTCCAAATAATGGCCTATTTTCCTCTAAACAGGATCATAACTAAGAAATTGACATCATGTCATGACATCAGGTGTGATCAAACAACATGACGTCCTTCATGTTGATGTCAGTCATCAGCTGCGATGGCCGAGTGGTTAAGGCGTTGGACTTGAAATCCAATGGGGTTTCCCCGCGTAGGTTCGAACCCTACTCGCAGCGATAACCTTTAGTTGTGTATCCAGAGCTACATTGATTTTGAAGTGTGATCTACCGTCAATATAAACAGTCCTTGGTAAATCCATATTTTGCCCTTACCTTTAAGAGATAGTACTCTGGTGGATAAGGATACGGTTGTCCACCTTCTTCATGATAACCTTCTCTTCCTCTCTCCATCTCCATCCTCCTCCTCTGCCACTCCTCCCTCTCTCTATCCAAATCTCTCTCTACCTCTCCTTCCTCCTGGCCGGTCCTGCTCCTCTCCAGCTCCTTCTGCCTCTCCATTTTCTCTCTCTCCATCTCCAGTTCAGCCTCCCTCTCCAGCTCCATTCTCTCCCTCTACATCTCCATCCTCTCCCTCCAGCTCATCTTCTTCAGCCCTCTCTCTGTCCACATCTTCCTCCGTGTCCCAGTCGTAGTCTCCGCTCCTCTCTTCCTCATAGACAGAATCAGGGACAGTTTCTGTATAATCTGGTTCTGTTTCTTTCGTTGTCTCCGTCTCATCTCCTCCATCCTGTACTTCTGTCTGACTGTAATTCTGTCTCCCTTTCCTTTCTTTTCTGTCCTTCCCGCTTGGCAACAGAGGATCGTGGCCTTCTCTCTTCTTCTAGGGGTAAAAAGTTACACATTTATTATAACAACTATCTAACTACAAAAACAATCTGTAATAGAATAAAATGCACACTTACGTCGTAAAAACTGTTGTGACCTCCAGCTCCAGAAGACAAATGCTACAAATAAAACAAATGGCTCAATTCTTCTGGGTACAAACTGAGTCACGCATTCAAAACACAACAGTAGAATATGCTAGAATTTCCAAAAAACATAAAAAACTTTACAGTGCCCTCTGTTTGTATTTTCTCTTTTACATTTTTACGTAAATTCTCAGAGACCTTAAACAGTGTCTGAAGACAAATCTGATTGGCAAGACAGGACAAGGATAGCACTACCTATAGTTGTTTTATACAAAGACCACAATAGTATTTTTCCTTTTACCTTTAATTCAATTCACAATGCAATATGCAAATCAAGATAAATTATTACTTTCTGTTCCTGCTTGAACCGAAATCTTCCCCCAGGGGCGCCTGGCATGAAAGCCTAACATAGAAAACATATCAGTATTTCATTGTTCAATGTGATTTATTATATATTTTTTTATATTAAGCAAACACTTACCATGGACTGAGGAGAGGGGGCACTTCTTCTGAACCTCGTTCTATTTTGAACCACCTGTCAAGCAACCCGCATCATTCACACAAGTATAGTAAGCAACATTTTTAAGTGTTGGATTTAGTGATAATGTGGCATTGTTTCAAAGTCGATCATTTTCAAAGATTTAATTTCTGAAAGCACACACCACATCTACAAACATCTATGCTGTTTGGACTGGACAAACTCCACATGTGCATTTTAAAATGTATATCATCTGACGTACTGTATTAGAAAAACGCAAAAAAAAGAGACAAGAAACTATCATCGTCATATTTTTTTTTTTTTTACTGAACATGCATCTTGAGAACACAGACAAACAGACAAACATAGTAATAACAGTGAAGAATTTCACCAATGAAAAGGACGTTTGATCAGAATAATATTCCTGGCATGGAAAGCCTATTTTCATACATTTTTTTCAATTGCAATAAATATTTTAAAATACAACCGACAAAGGAAAATGTGAATTTAAACTGTTTTGGGCAAACGTTTGAATCACATGACTTTATTTGTTACAGAGAATATTTTTTTCTCAATAAATAAATAAGTAGATGAAACCACTAATGCTTCAAACTGGTGAATCACAACAATCTCAACACAGTTCTCACGATCCTCACAAAAACGCCAGGTTTTTGACAAAACACAACTCATCCCCCAGGTCGTGAAACGTAGGCCAGGTTCAGGGATCCCCCAACACTTCAGTCTAGTCCATGTAGTGTGTGTGCTTTTTGTACTCTATTGTCACAGTCTCTTGGGATCTAAGATACGTCCTGTTTAAAAATAGAAGAGAGAATATCACATGTAACTCTCTGGAGTCGTTTCTTTAATTTAATCATTCAAAACAGCATGCTGTTCTAAAATGCTACTCTTTCTCATGCTTTGTCAAGGTTTTTCCAAGGAGAACTGTGTTGGTTTGTTCCATCCCCAGGGTAATTTTTGCACCATTTTTCATTCATCGGTGAAATTTTTCAGAGGAAGCAGGAAAAAAGGATCAGATTTGAAAAGATTTTACCAAGTGATAAAACCCACTTTTTTTTTTTTACATTCAAGCACTTGTCTTGTTCATCAAGTGTGAATGAAAGAGCCCTGCATTCCAACACATGCAAGATTCAAGAAAGTGAGAGTCAAATCTTTACCTTCTCTGGTTCTGCTGTAGGGACAGGAAGTGGAGACAGCGATGCTTCGACCGCTGTAGGTTGAGTTGGAGGCTCTGTGCTTGTTGTCTGAACCTAAAATATGTAAAAAAAAAAAGTTAATAAAAAGATTAAGAAAAAATTCAGAATATTTTACATGCAAAATAAACATTTATTTTGGGAGCATTTACCTGTCTGCCATCTGTTCTTTCCTGCAGGTTTAGGTAGTCATGTGTAAAATGTTCTTCCTGTTAAAAAGAAAGCAAGTACTTCATTAAATTACATCAACTAAAAATGCTAATGTTTTCATTTATTTAGTATTTTTTTTAATCAAAATGTAATCATTATGGTTTTCTTATTAAATTCACAGATGTGTATTGAGACTGCAGTAAGCTGTATATTTTTTGTTTTTATCACAGGGCTTTTAAGAGCATACACAAAGAACTACGGTATGTCACAGCCAGTAGAGACGTAGCTATAAATAGCCAAGAGGATAGCTGAAGAAAGGACAGCAGAAACGACTTAAAGTTGGCATAAAAATAGTAAAAAATAACAATAAAAAAGTCAGGCAAGAAAAGGCTAAGAAACAGATACAAAAAATACCTGCACTTTAACAAATTTATTTCAAATACAAAAAATACCTGCACTTTAACAAAATTATATCCCTAAACATGTTTTGCCTGAACTAGCTAACGTTAGCCACCATAGTTAGCATCATTAAAGTATCTTAAACAATATAAGATGTAGTTTTAACAGAAATAGCCAACAATGTCCAAAACAAAATCAAAGAATAACACACACGTGAAATAACAATAATTTGGCCAGAAGTATTACTTTAAGCTAGCTGTGAAAGATAAAAATAAAAAGTTAGCAAAGGGCTTGCTCATCGTAGCAGTTAGTCCTTCTTAATAGTTTGCACAGAAACATATATATACAGTACATAAGTAAGTAATATTTTGTATTTGTATTTGTGGTAGAAGTAGCTAGAAATTAGCCACATGAAGTTAGCCAAAAAACACTAAACCAATAACAACAGCTGGTAAATAATGACATCTCCAGAATTTGGATGTAGCCACTGCCAGAGCTCAGGACTCAGCAGATGAGCTGCAGTGAAGTGTGATATCAAACTAATTTCACACTTAATGATGAATCCAGGTAGTGGGTGTGTTATTAATCAACTCTCTTCAGTGTTTTTGTGTGGGCGCAGATATCATTCAGTTCCCCATGAGGCGCTTCTCAGAAAACTAGGCCATTTCATTAAGAGTTTGACAGCGTTGTTAACAGAGAGGCACACCACAAAGTGAGCGATCCAAATCTGTAACAACCCCACGTCATCACAGGTCACGTTAAACTGAAGTTTCCCCACTGTGCCTTAATTAGTCATTCTGGTTCTTACCTCCTGTTCGTAACTGTATTCTTCAGTGCTATAAAACTCTTCCTCTCCATCTTCCTCTCCTTCTCCTGTTGTCTTTAGATAAAGAAGAAAATACATTTATTTAGAGAAATGTAATCTGATCAAATCAGTTGATTTATACATGAGATAACCAGGTTAATGCATGCTTTTAGTTTTAAAGTTCCCAAAATGTATTTTCAAACCTTGTTATTACAGTTCAAAAATGTTCACACATATCACAAACTACTTTAGTATTATGGGAGCCATTATTTGTAGCCTAGTCATACTTCAACATTCAAGCGCTAGTGTTAGTTGTTTTCTTTGTGTTTAGCTTAAGAGTAGAAGTGTTTTTTCAGCGTTAGTGTGACCCCATCAAGGACATTTACCAGGCGGTGTCTCTGCCTCTTATGTCGTCCTTTATTTCCTTTGCCCTAGTTTAAAAGTCAGAGACAGAAAGACGGAGTGAGGGAAAAAAAAAAGAAGTTTCCCATGCTTCAGACATTGTTGATAAATCAAGTGGATTCTGTTTAGGGGGTTGGAGATGAGGACAAAATTATTATAGTTGATCTTTTATTACAATAACTGTGATATATTGTAAAAATATATGTTTTAAGATTTAAAGTTTCATGCTCTCTGTATAAAAAGAATAATTCAAATGTAATAAAATCTGTTTGGGATAATTGTGTCCTCAACTGTATTCTAAGAGGGAAGAATGAGTTGTTAATGAAAAAAAAACACACAACACCTTTATAAAACAACATGTTGGAACCCTTAGTGTTAAAAGGAGTTTATTATTTTTTTTATAATAATAGGACCAAACCACGGAATGTTGCATGTTTTTGGAAGTCATTCATGTAATTATATTCTCTCTGTCCTTCACTTATAATTTCCTAAGAGCTCTGTTTCTTTGTGTAAAACACAAGTTGGTGAAAAATGAAATGTATCCAAATGCAAAGACATTTTTTTCAATATTTCTTTTTACATGAGATGATTCATTTAACTGTAGATAAGTTATGGTCGAGCTGAAAACATGAAATACCGGTATGGTCCTTTAATGGCGTACACACATGTAGATAGAAGTTAATGAAGTAAAATAAAACTTGTTAAAACAACCACAGGAACAAATCCTCATCTTTGTTGTGTGCAGTGAATCAAACATCATGCTCTTCATTTACAGGAGAACCAAATGTTGTCGAAGGTGTTGACGCAACTCTTCAATTTTGTGTTACCTTCCCACGTTCCCTGTTCTTCTTCTTCTGTCCCGGTGTCTTCTTCTTCAGAAAGTCTTCCGGAGTGATGACCGTCTCCACCACTGCCTCAGGTAAACCTGAAACAGTCTGATAGTTACAGTTCATTTCGTTAGAATTGGCGTATATTGATTAAAAAGAGTGGACAAGCTCATCAACTTCAAAATACTTTCTTCTTTTTGATTTGTTACATTTCTATTTAGCCTCCAAATTTCCAATTATTGGAAATAAAAAAATAATACCATATTTCATCAGCCCTGCGTGACTTAATCACCTCTGTGGCATCGCACTTTTATAATACATTTTTTTTATTGTAAATGATTCTTACCTCCTGTGTCGTAGTGAAATTGAAAGTAGAATTAACATCAGTAAGATTAATACTGAGTGAAGACACTCCGTCATCGGTCCCAACCAGTAACTTCTTCTCAAAGTTTGCTTTCGGGTCAGTGTCAGAACTGTTCAGTTCCTGTTCTATAGTCACCGTGGTGACATTCCACAGACTGGGATCCTCTGATGTTTCATTAAAAGGCTCCTTATGTTGAAAAAGTGATGAAACAAAAGCAGGACATACAGCATGTCATACAGGGCGAGGGTTAAACCACAAGTGACGTTTTAGATTTTTAGATTTTAAAATGACTCACAACAGGTAACTCTGGAAACAGGAGTTCCAAATCCGGGCCTTCAGGGGTGTCGAGTTCTGACACCGGCTGATCGGTGACCTCATGCTTCAGAGAACTCTGTTTGGACAAACACCTTTGAGTGAGACTGACTCTTCATCCTAATCTCACTGTATCTAGACCAGTGGTTCTTAACCTTGTTGGAGCTACTGAACCCCACCAGTTTCATATGCGCATTCACTGAACCCTTTTGGTGTTCGATCCAGGTTCACACAGGTTAAGAACCACTGCATCTAGACATTTCTTCTTGCTGTTTTATTGTCATTTGCCGTCAAACATCTGTAACCCACATTACTTATAATGTTACCTTATTACAAGTACTTTTCTATCGTTTCTGGCAAGATATTTTAATCACAACATATTTAGAGATATTCTCTAATACATCACTATGAAAAAATATTTATTGGAAAGAAATTAAATGTGTATTATTATGTACTTCCACCATTTTAAAATAACAACAATGGGACTTCCCTTTGCCCCCACTTTAGTCACTGTTTTTATAGAAGAATTGAACTGTTTTTTTCTTTCCATTTTATGCAACTCAAAAAATTAGTTTGTTTAAAAACAATTTTTAAAAATTGTTTCATTGATTTCACCTTCATTGCATGTTCCATTTTAGAATTGTAATCATTATGGAAAAAGTCCACTGTACACAGTATGGACTTAAATTGAACCCTTCCAGTATCGCTCCAGCACCAGTACAGCTGACTCATGCACTCTTTACTTAGTGTGTACTCACTGTGTACTCTGTGATGACGTTGGACGTGTGAGTCTCTGTGTTGTCTCCTAGTTTTCTGACACTGCCAAGAACCTGAAGAAGCTCTTCGATCCCATCCTGCAGCAGCCTGTCGATCAAAGCCTTCAACAAAGGCAGCTGAGGGAAGACGCTTCTTTTATTTAGAACTCTTTTTTTTTTCTCCCAAAATTCTGTCGACGTTTGACTGTGTACCTGGTGACAGGCTCTGTACTCACCCGTATCCCGTACGCTTCAAACATCACCTCAATATCCTGAGGAAAAAAGTGAGGAAAAGTGCAGTGCATTGCTTGCAGAGAGAAAATGTGAAAAAAACATTTTTTATGTCACAGTTAATTAAATGTTATTCACCTTCATCTCAATAGATTTTCCTGGAGCTCCTGCATTTCCCTTTAAAACATGAAAGTAAGGTCGTTGAAACTCATTTACATTTCAATGTTTTTATTTTAATAAGGTACTACGTAGCTGTGTCATCCAGTACCTTCTCTCCTCTTAGTCCAGTCTCTCCTCTCTCACCCTGTAAAGGAAAAAAGAATCATAAACTGAGGTGTTTTTGTTATATTTACTGTGTTTTCAGCTTCAAACCCCATCAACATTTTACCTTTATTCCCGGTGAACCCTAAACACACGGAAACGGAGCAGTTAGATGTTGCAACATGTGTTTACACAGACAATGTTTGGCTTTAAATTTAGGGTTTTTTTTGTCACAAAAAATGACTCAGGGGTCAAGTCTTTTTTAGCTTGTATGTAAAAGAACGGTGTGATCAGGCGTCGAACTCACAGTGGCTCCTGGAGGACCCATTGGGATTGGAAATGCTTGACGCGCATCGTCAAGGGAGGCACCCTGTGGAAGACCCCATGTTAGAACGAACGAAGGTGAAAAGACAAGAAGACAAGAGGGTCCAAATGTCCATTTATTCATCTGTCAACTCATCTATCTATCTAATCTTGTAATCCATGCATCCATCCATCCATCCAGCTCAATGCTCCACTCATAAGTGCACCTTATGTTGATTACTCATTAGCTAAACATGAACCTAAAAACCCCAGATGATTGGTTTCACCTCTGAAGTGATGAGCACTTGTTTTCCAGGCAGACCCGGGGGTCCTGGTTCACCTTTACTGCCATCTTTACCCTGTTAGACACCCAAAAATGTTCAAGTTCCAAATGTAATTTTTTTTTAAATATCTGCAATTAAAAACAACCTACTTACATCTGCACCAGCGTCTCCTTTGTCTCCCTGTGAATGAGAATTTGTTGTTACGTAGTTTGCTGAGAAATAACATTCAGTGACATATGGATATTAACCTTCATGCCATCTTCTCCTTTCGCTCCCCTCTCGCCCTGAAAAGGAGAATACATATTTTAAATAAAACCTGAAAAGGAGAATACATATTTTAAATCTAAAGGCTTTTACACTGGTAAACAGCAGTAAAGTAAAAACATTCCTCACATCTTTTCCTGGCAGCCCTCTCTTCCCATCAAATCCGGATTTTCCCTGGAGAATCAGGAAAGACTCAGATTATTATTTTAAAAATAGACTTTCTTTCTTTATTATGTGGGACGTGTCAATATCAGACACATAGAAATGGAAAAACACAATGTGTGAGACACAAACATTAATAGTAAGACGTGTACATACGGGTGTTCCTGGTAATCCAGGTATTCCTGCAATCCCAATCCGACCTTGGTCTCCCTTTTCTCCTTTCTGCTCACACAAACACACATGACTGAGGCTCTACTTTGATGTCAAGAATTTTTGCCAGATATATCAAGCGTTATTTATTTTTTTGAACTGATAGCTTAAACTACTGCTGCAGTTGATTGAATTAAGTGAGTTAATTTGGATTATGACAAATTATTTACATTCAAGCTGTAATTTCCCTAAGCACTCTTCCTTTTTTCAAACAAAAATCTTACAAGTTCAAGTACCTTAAAGAATTCAAGCAGCTAAAAAAATGTCCTAGTAATGACGATTAAAAAAAACAAACTATACATCTGTCATTGAGACCTATTTACAATCATACGACATTAGGTCAGTTATACAGTACACGGCTCAATGACCACAGTCAACACTTTTCCCTGATTGTTTTTAATAAGGTGCATCTATGAAAACAGCATATTTGATAAACAGTGTTCTACTCACAGCCCCAGGGTCAGCCTTTGGTCCCAGCGCTCCCTGCAGTAACAGAGACATGAGATACAATGTAATATCATGACATAACATTGGATCATTCACATGAGCAAAACTATATCTTCTATAATATTAATCTAGTCTTGCCATGGGAGGCCAGGACTCTCTGCTCTCTGCTTGTGAGGCAGGCGATATAACCACTAAACCAATGTTAACACTTGCAAACGTAACTACTGACATATTTACACGGTTAAATTAGTTTGAATTATGGCATATGATAATGATTTTCATATATTAAAAATAGCCATATAATTATAATAATATTTTTTTTCAAATGTTATGAACATACCAGTGACGTCCCTGGTAATCCTGGTTTACCTTCTGGACCCTGTGGAAAAAGCAAAAAACAAAATAACTTTATGTGCAGTATACAAATCTAGCTGATGATATGTAAAGGAGTAAGAAAAATACTATGATCAATTTGATTTGTTTGGGTATTCAATACTTTTTATTTTTACAGAAAATTAAATTTTTTTTTATGCGTAGCTTTGGGCTATTCCATGGTTTTGTTTTGGTTAATTTTATTTTATATTTGACTTACCTGTGGTCCAGGTAAACCTCTGTCTCCATTTACACCAGGTCGACCGGGTTCTCCTGGTTCACCCTTTATAAAGAGAAAAAGGATGCAAATTATATTATATTTAATCTTTAGTTAAAAAAAAAAAACAAGTTAGATTAAATATACTACATGCTATGTGTCGATCTACCTTAATCACTCTGGTCAGGATGTTGTTATCGGTCACAGTCTGAGGGAGAGAAATGGAAGAAACAAAACTTTATTTGCTAATTAACAGGATGTAGTTGATCTGAGATCACCCATTAATTATTCATGATTAATTCAAACATGACTGAACTGATGAGAACATGTCATGAGAGATAAATGATAAATGTTGTTTACTTGTGCTCCCGGAGGTCCAGGTTTTCCCTTTGTGGCGACGATGAAAAGACGAGAACAAAAACCACAAATAAAACGCAGAGCAGTTGGATTTTGAAATGACACGGCATAAAACAACAAATATTTGCAACACAAAGAGAAAAAAAAACAAAGCAGGGCTGACAGACAAAAATGGTCAAAGTTAATTAGTGAAACGTCTTTTTAAGCCACAGGAGAGAATCAGGATGTGAAGATGCAATGACACGGTGAGTGATACAGAAGAATGAGCAGAAGCTGAGGCAATAAACAAACTCATCAGCAGCCATCAGACAACGTGAACACAAACATACCGGCTCCCCTTTGTCGCCTTTCTTTCCATCAGTGCCCTCCAAAAAAAAAAAAAAAATAGAATCACATATTATCATTAACATATGTGACAGAATGAGTTTTTTATCTTCTGTATCTTAGCGTTTTACATAGGTGAACACCTACAGGCTGACCAGGTGTCCCAGAATCCCCCTTTTCTCCAGGGTCGCCGGATCTTCCTGTTAAACCCAGTGGACCCTGATGAAACAGAGATAAATTAAAGAACAATAAAAGAAATGCTTGAATCATACAAAGGAATAAATATGCAAAATAAAAGACTATACATAAAGAATGGACGAAATTGTGAGGATGAAAACTACTATACTACTATTATTGGGTATTTGGAAGACACATATATACACGAGTACTAATCCAATATATATATATATAAATGTTTACCCTGATTCCTCTTTCTCCCGGCTCTCCAGTCGGACCTTGTTCTCCCTGCCATAAACAAATGTGTAGATACATAAATTTGTTTTTTTTTCACCTTACCCTAAAACAAAACATATTTTAATATTCGCAGTTTGTACAAGAAATCGTTAATAAAACGTGTGGAGTAACTGACCTTGATTCCTTGTTCTCCTTTTGTTCCACCTAAACCCTGCAGACAAAGTCAGTGGTTTATCAATAATATATATATGTCAACTTATCTGTTTAAAAAACAAGACAATGTGTTTCCAAAAAATGAACTTTTAACTATTCAAAGAAATTCTAAGAAAACCTTTTATTTTTAATGTGTTCTCATTAAAGCTCTTTACTCATCAACTCTATACTATATATAAATGTGTTAAAATATGCTGTGTCATACAGCAGACTTCTATCACAGCCACTCAGGATTTACTTACATCTTTACCTCTTAATCCCGCTTCTCCAGGATTTCCAGGAGAGCCAACTTCTCCTTTGTCACCTTTGGAACCATCGTGTCCCTGGACAAAAACATTTTTAACATGTTTTAACATTATTTGAAATGCAATGATTTGGCAGGAATTTATTTGGTTTCACAGGTTTTAAAGTAAGATTTTTATCTCCTGGTTAGGAGAGAAGACAGTAAAAGTAAGGTGTCATCTGCATAGCAAAGAATATGACTGGACAGAGCTACATTTAGCATAATGCTATAGTTATAGTTACTGATAATCTCTTTAATTATCATACCAAGTGAAGATTCTGGTTTTTATTGGATTTTTGGAAAATGAACTGACTTTTCTAGGAAAAAGTTTAGGTTGATCTATCATGAAAGATTTGATGTGATAAGGAGTGAAAAGATCAGTGAGGACTATAAAATGTTTTATCTGATTTTAGTTTGGCATCAAAACAAAACTCTTACCTTTGGCCCTGGTTTTCCAGACAAACCAACATTTCCCTAAAAATGAAAAAAAAACCCAGATACATACAGGTGTACATACATGTACAATACTAATCAACACAAAAATTACAAACAGCAAAAACAGACTAACATGTTCAAAGAGACTTTCTCACTCACTCTTTCACCGTTGTCTCCTTTTGGCCCCTGCTGTCCTGGAATCCCAAATCCAGGACTGCCCTGCACACAAAAACATCACTGATGTTTTCTTTTATATATTATTTTAACTATTTTAATACAGAATGTTTATAATTAAACTCCATCATGATATTCAATTTCCACTGTCCACCTTTTCTCCCTTGTCTCCACGTTCTCCTTTTATTCCCTGGGGCCCTGTAAGGCCGACAGGACCGATGTCCCCCTAAGAGACAGACAGATAGCAGAACAAAACAAGAATTCAATTAATAATTAGGGTAACGGGGTCAAATTATCGCCACCGTTTCAAAACAAACCTCTGCGGACTTTAAATTGTGTGTAGACTGTGAAGTGAGATTAAAGCGCCGCTGCTCACTGAAGCAGTCAGTGCCTCTGCAAAAAGCTAATGAGAGAAAAATCTCAGTCCTGTTTTATAGCGGCAGACCCAGAGGACGGAGGGAGAACACCCCCGACAATTAACTAGGACATTTGCATAGTATAAAACATTAGCAAAATCACTTTCCCTGCGGCTCCGTGCCCTCACACATGCCTGTTAAGATAAACGCAAAGGAAAGAAACATGTGAGTATTTAAGGGAATTAACAACCCCCCCCGAACGTGTCTGGAGTTTGAATTGGTTTGAATGAAAACATCAGGCACTTCCTCACAAAGACCTGGATCTGTTGTCGAGCAGTTTAACCAATTATTTTCCGGATGTTTATAGATGGATTATCTGAGAACGGTCTGTGGCTGATTTCTCAAGGAGGAGCAAAATTAAAAGTAAAGGAAGTTTATAGTTCAGTGTTCAAGTTGATAAACTACCTTTGGTGACTTACCCTGACTCCCTTTTTACCGGTTGGACCGAGTATCTGAGGTGAAGAGAGAAAACAGGGTTTTATTTATATTATGTTTTACTGATAAGTAAGTTCAAGAGAGTGAGAGCAGTTTTCTTACGCCCTTGGCAGGGTCTCCTGGTGGTCCTCTTTGACCCTCGTCTCCTTTCAACCCTATGGGCCCAGTGAAGCCCTGAAAATACAAGGTTAATGTTAACTGTGACCCTTTGTATTGAGACTCAATAACAGCCTCTTATGAGTTGTAAACAATTTCCTTCCATGTCTGAATATCTCTGACAGGGGTCAGAGGGCCAGATTTTTTTGACCCCTTGGGGGTCGAACCCTTATTAGATATTTATTTTTGGAACCTAGCTGCAGACTGGAATGGTCTGTTAGGTGGGCCACTGGTTGATAATCCACATAGTCCACATACAGTATAAACCTTGGTCAGCATTTGTAGGTCAAATCCAGATAAAATCATCAAGAGAGTTGCATAAATGCTGGAAATTCCACTTTTGTAACAAGAAAAATAACCTGGACTCCCTTAGCCACTTAGCATGTACAGTACGTGAACCAATTTAGTGCCACAGTAATTGGAAGAGAAAAATGAAATGGCAGCATCATTGGGAAAAGTGGTCCACAGACGATCTAAAGAACTCTAACACAGCTTCCTCTCTTGTTTGACTTAAGGACTTGACAACGCTGCTCAAAAAAACAAGTGAAGTATACACTGAACCCAAAACATTAAATTATGTGTCAAATCAACTCCCCTGCTAAATATAATTTTATATAAAAGAAGTGACTTTGGAAAAGTATAGTTCAGTTCTAAGTTTGATATTTACTGGTGTAAACATTTGATTTACTGTAGTTTCACTGCCGTCAAATTCTGACTCACCGTTGGTCCTTGAGGTCCGATCAATCCTCTCTCTCCTTGGTCTCCCTAAAGTTAAAAACATATCAATACATTAAAAGGACAACAGATTGTATTTCAGTCAATTAAAGGTTTATTTTAAAGGTTATTTTAATTAAAGATCCATTCATTCAGGTGAAATGATGACAGAATGAGGTGAACTCACCTTGTCGCCTAGTTCTCCTTTCAATCCCTTCTTTCCCTGCAGATCAAATGGACACAGTGACTCTGACAGTAGTTAATTCTACCTTAAAATGGTGCAACACAGGTGCAAAAAAAAAATGGTGCACATGATCGTTCAAATGTGTACGAGCAGAATAGACAATGAGATTAGAAACAACTGGTACTTACTCGAGGTCCAATTATTCCCTGAATACCTTGTTCTCCGCGATCACCCTGATATAAACATAAGATTTAAAAAATGACATAGAGCATCAACATATGGCTTTAAAATAAAACTCATAGCCATGAGATGAAGAATTGTAGTTTTAAGATAAATAAATATAACATGAAAAGGTGTAAAGAGAATAATAAATAATAAAAAGTTAGATAAATAGTTGACACCTGGAGTCAAAATAGATATGAGTGAATTTTTTTTTTTACCTTTGGGCCGACAAGTCCTGTGACGCCAATGTTTCCCTAGAATGAAACAGTGAAATTAAAACAGAAAAACATGATAACAAAGCTTAGTGTTAACAAAAACCGTCCGTCAGGTTAACCTTTTCTCCTGGTTCACCACGAGGGCCTTGAATCCCCTGTATACCGATTCCTTCTTCACCCTGGAAGAACGAGAGAAACAACATGTCATCAGTTTGCATCACGATGATGAATTGATAAAGGTCAAAGGTCAAAATAGAAGTTCACCTTCTCTCCTTTCAGACCTGGTAAACCTGGAACACCATCGATGCCAATAGGACCAGGTAAACCTGCCACTCCCTGCAGTTGTTTCACATTATCAATGTGAAAATAAAGGAACCAAAAGAGGGAGAAACCAAGAGGTTGTTAAGAAAAACTTCAAAAACTATGAGTCAGAATTTGATTGGCTGTGAACTTACATCTATTCCTGCTTCTCCTTTGTCTCCTTTTGCACCTTTGATACCACGTAAACCCTTTTCCAAAACAGGATCAAATATGGGAAAATGTCCAAGACTCATATTGAAAATAAATCATTCCCGTCCTCCTTACTTACCTGTTCTCCTGCCTCTCCTCGGTCTCCCTGCAAAATAATCATTTGCGTCACTCAGTCGGAACATTATAAAAGTGCAGATTATTTTTTTAGCATTTGATTGTGAGCACAGTGCAATTCCAGCAACAATTTCCTTGTGACTAATAACCGAGAAGGTCAGAAAGAAAGACCTTGATGGAGAGTCCTGGTAGTCCTGCAGGTCCCAGTTGGCCCGGCAGGCCCGGAGCCCCGTTGACCCCAGGTACACCTGGAGCCCCTTGTGGCCCCTGAAACATGAAGAAAATCATCTTAAATGTATCCATTAGTTTACAATAATAATAAAAAATCAGGTACTGACTGAAGATCCTGGTTCTCCCTTTCGTCCAGGGACATAATTGGCATCGGTACCAGCAATGACATATCCAGGTTCTCCCTGTTCACAATCATACAGGATGTTTTAAAGTGAATATGACCGATGCAGTGTAGCACAGACTGTGTGGATATTAAAAGCTCAGGCTTGGCTTACTCTCTCTCCTCTCTGTCCCTTTGGACCAGGACGACCAGCAGGACCCTGTCATGGACATAAACAGTAGGAGACAAATGCAAGATGCATAGACACTTCATACAATGTTTCATTTATCTCGACCTCATCATGTCACATATAGAAGACCTTCTTGGCTGATGACGTACAAAAACCATGGCTAACAAAGCTGCAGATGTTGAGCCAAGCTAACGTTGTTAAATGTCGTTGTCTCAAACATTAAACTGCAGGAATCTTTTCATATTATTCTGAATGGTTATCGCTTTATTCCTCTAAGGTTCCTGGCAAAGAGAAATTCCTTTAAGTTTTTTCTTTTTATTAACTAGGTCACATTCAAGTATTAAATTATGAGAGAGGATTTTAGTTTTTTTAATAACCGTTTTGATCCAGATGTGTTTAGATTTATATTAATGTTCTTACCATGTCACCTGGAATGCCAGGAGTTCCCTGAAAACAGCACATGGAAATCGATTTTCAGAATCAAGAGAATGAATGAATGAAAACAAATGAAATCATTTAAACTTTTCTTTTCTCTTATATATTCAGTTACCCGTTGGCCACCAGAACCTGGGGGTCCGGTTCTCCCTGGTCGTCCAGGCAACCCAGGAATCCCATCTGTTCCTGGAGCTCCCTGTGGAATTATAACATTGTGCTCTGAGTCAGAAAATAAAATCATGGACATCAACAAAACACTAGTGAAGTCGCATTGACCGACGCGGTCTGAGTGGAAAAATGAGATTAGACACAAGAACAATGTGATGATGGTGAGGTGATGCACTAAAGCCATGTAGAATAATAATAATATGGAGACATATCATGTCAGCGTCACCTCTAATTCATTAATGGAATATGACTCATTTTTTAAAAATATATTATAATAAAAGTCCTTCAGAGCACATATGGGTTTTAATCATGTTGCCAAGTAAAAAGAAAAATCCAAACTGATGATTCCTTTCAACAATGTTAAATGGAAAATAAATATAGTGCGTCTTTTGTCGTTACCAAAAAAATAATATTAAAAGATTTTCTTTAAATTTTTTTAATGGGTCCATTAGACGATCTGGAAAATGCCTGGTGCCCATCTGCTCTCTAAATGAACATCAGCACAACGGCCGGTGAGTCACAGGTACACAAGAAAAGGTCTGCAGAGTTAACATCAGTTTAAATCTGAAGACTGGACTGTGACGTCTGTGGTTTATTACTGAGAACCCCTCTTGTCTAATTCTGACATGGTAAGAAAAGAAAAACTTGGATTTAATATATATAACCTATAGTTTGTATTTATTACAACATAGTGATCACAAAAAAACATGAATGAAGTATTTGGTCTATTATAATATTTATAACAAAAACAACATCATTGTAATCGTAGCCAATATTTTAATAAGTAAAAAATATAGTTATATTATTTTTTATACATGAACCAAATGCAATGTTGGCATGACATACTGCATAATTCTATCTAAGTATATGAGTGTAATTATGTTTGTAGGTATATTTTCTAAACCTTTTTTAACAACATAACAATAGCATTATTACCTTGCCCTTACATCAGTGGAATGCTGAAAAATTGAAATATTATCTTGCAGTGCATTACCTTACCTCCCCACAGGAGGGCGGCATCTGTTATCTCTGTCAGGATTGTTTTGGGGCCACAATTAGGTTTTATTGTTAGAGTGTTAGAAGTAAATGGATGTCAACACAAATTACCAACAAGCACTTCTGTTTTTTTCTTGCCAAAGTGTGGGTGTTTGTTTACCTTTTCTCCTGTCTCTCCTTTGGCAGAAGTGAACGGATCAAACCGTCCAGGACTTGGCCTAAACCTCTGTACAGACACAACAGTCAACGGGTCAATTCAAATAAAATGGAATTAAAAAAAAAGTATAATCTTATGCCATTTTATTAAACAGAGTTAACAACATACCAGACCTCCAAGACCAAAACCATCACCCTGCAAGAAAACGTTAGATTTAAAATTGAAAAACGTGGCTTTTCTGTGAAATATAAACTATTTGTGTTTTAAAATAATTAAACTCACCTTTTCACCCTTTTGGCCCTAAAAACACAAATATTTATGATAAATTTCTTATGAACAATGAATTTATTTATAAATATTTTTTTTGTTTGTTTCTATGTTGTTGTTCTCCAGTCCTCACCTTCGTACACTGGGAGGAGCAGGCACCCTCAGGGCCTTCAGGCTTGGCCATCTCCTCTGGGTCGTCAGTGGGATTGTCCAGCTGAGCATTCTGAGAAATGGAAACAAAAAGGTGCATTATGGGTCATTCATGTGATATAATGTAAACAGAGCACTTTTCGCTAATGTGACATGAAAAAAAGGCAGAGATTTTTCCTCCCACTGAGCTGGTTTTGTTGATACAGTGGGAATTATGAATTCCTCCCACTGAGCTGGTTTTGTTGATCCAGCGGGAATTATGAAGTCATTATGTCATTATGAATAAAACGAACAAAAACAAAGAACGTGAGAATCGGCACAGGTGGATTTGAACGACCCACAAAGGCTGCTGCAGGTGCAGAACTGTCTGATTTAAACCTTTCAGTTTTTCTGTTTTAATCTTATTCAAATCTAAAAATCTTTTTAACATTCTAACTCTGAAACTACTTATTACAAATGCATAAAAACATTTTTTTCTTGCCTTATCACTATGATGTTTTACTTCATCGTGTGTTTTATGAATGTCAATATTTAACCCCTATTTAAATCAGTTTGACAAGATTGGACTGTGGAGTATTTATTTGCAAAACTTCTCAGCTTCCTTCTGTCTGAAAGTCATTTCTCTGGACTTTGTGCTAACATGTTCACCGACATATGACATTTTAAAAGCTTAGCAAGACATTAAAATTGAGATAGATTCTGCTGGAATTGCTCATACAAAAAACAGTTGGGTACAAGATCACAAATAAGGGTTTGTTTAAACAGTGTCAGAAGTGAACAGTCACACAGACAAGTGAGTGTTCACCACCATACACTGCCCAGGGCAGTATAAGCAGTAAAGTATTTCTAGTGCGTTGCAGACTTAAGATTGAATTATCTTAGATTATATTGTTCTTCCCACCTCGTCTGTAACTTTATACTCGGTCAGGAGCTCGTCGCTACAGATGGATTTGATAAACTCTCTCTCTATGGAAGGAAAGTCGTCAAAGGTCGGGGAGAAGAAGATATTCTTGTAGTTGGTGGGAGCTGCTATTTTATTCAGCTCATCTAGGTCTGCGTTGTGGACTCCGACTGCCACGATGCTGACGCCTACAGAGAGATCAAACACGCAGCGTCACAGGCTAGTTTTTCAAACAGGAATTTACTGAGGTTTGACAGTGCCCCTCACTGACCCAGGGCCCGAGCGATTCTAGAGGGAGGCTCCACGTCGTCCTGGGCTCTGCCGTCTGTGATCAGAACCAGAACATGGGCCACGTCCATCCTCATCCCAGCAGACTCCTGGAACAGTTCCTGGATCACGTAGCCGATGCCTTTTCCTGCGTACATATAAAAGAAGAAAATGAGTTCATACCTATTGAGTGTAAATATGACATGATTTAAATTATGATCAATAAAAGACATTCTTCATGGTACAATTAGAATATTGATTAATAAGATTTGCCAAAAGATTCAAGACGAAACTTTTACTAGATTAATAAGATTTGCCAAAAGATTCAAAGATTCGAAACTTTTACTCTCAGCTGAATATTCAGAGTAAAATTACAAAATACTGCAGTGAATGATACAAGAACAGACACATATTAAATCAGATTGTTGCACAAATGATGCTGAAAATATTTAAGAGGAGAATAAGATACTGATTCATGATACTGAGTCTGAGAACTTGAACAAGCAGCTCTTCATTGTGACTTAAAATGTTCCACCTGATCCAGTTACACTGACGCACCACAGCAGTAATAAATGTTGTTTTTTTTTCCACCCATATGACCAGAGTGGGTCCAAAATGTTGTTATAAATATGAAATGCATTGCAACAGCAGATGGCGGCCAGAGGAGGAGTGCTGTGAATATTTTGCTGAGCGTCACTAACCTGTTTTGGTGTTTCCTGTACCGTAGCGCAGGCCCCTGAGTGCCCTGAGAATGGAGTTTCTGTCTTTGAACTCATTCAGTTTGAATTCAATTCGAGGCTCGTCGCTGTAATGAACCACAGCTATCTGAGAGGAGGAATGAAGACGAATTATTATTATTAGAAAACAATTCACTGTTTAATATAAAGATGTGGAATTGTCTGTTTTCTGCTTAGCTGTGGGTTAACATTCGTACTAAAGAAAGGGGACATTTTTAACTGTGGCTTCATTTATGCTCTCTACTAGGAAACATTTGGTCTATTCCTACAATTTCAATCCACGCAGCTTTCAGGTTAGGTCAGGGATTTTTTTATTGTATTGTATTGTTTTGATCCAACATTAAGCATCTGTTCACCAAATTTTTTCTCATCCTGTTACTTTTTCTTTAAAATCTCCTCTGCTTCCTGCTCTCAGAGTCCAGGCACAGGCAGAACCCTAACATTAATGTCAGCAAATGCTGTTTTTACTGGGCCTTGTTTGCCCTTTTTGGTGTGTGTTGAAGCAAAATGATACCCATTTGGTGAAATGCACATTATGTTCCTGTTAATCCAACTGGTCTGGATCACACAGCCCTGAATTATCACTCAAAATTACTGTAATCTTTCCCTGTTTGCAACTGTCTTGGCAATTGTCAGGAAAGGAGCTGTTCAGTCGACTGGACCTAGAGCTAAAGATACTGAGATAGAGCGTTAGTGATGTAAATGACTCAGTGTAGTTCCACTGGCAGACTCACCTGTGTGGCCGAGGGACCAATGATGGGGAAGTAAGTGACGGCTCGGAATATGAAATCCTTTATTTTAATAAAGTTATCGGCCCCGATGCTGGAGGACTCATCCACCAGGAACACTATGTCTGCTTTGGCCTTAGCACATGCTGAGAGAAACAATAAAAATACATTTAAAAGCAATACATATTAGAATATAACACATGAATGGATGGATACTGTCTGATAATGTTGTTGTTTTTTTAACCTGGACCAGATGGAGTTGTTGTTGGAGGAGAGGCTGTGGTCAATCTCAGGGTGGAGACACTAGGCCGAGCCGCAGGTTTCGTAGCGGTGACGGTCCTCTGTGGTGGCAGAGTCACGGTGTGATGGAGGTTCCTGGTGACTGTCTGAACCGCGGTAGTGTTGAGGATGGAGGCCGCTGTCGGTGTTGCAGACTGTGCGGTTGTTGACGGAGTATCCTGACCCACTGCACAAACACAAGCACAGAGACAAAAGTGGTTTCACCAACTGTAAGATGTTGACATTTACAAGGAAAGAATAAATGACTCTTCCTTATCTAAAATGAAAAAAGCAATTTTGTCATAAAAAATTGGTAAACATTCTTTCATGACTCTGATGAAAATATGTTTTGACAATAGGTAGAGACAACCGAGAACAAAACTTTTCATAATAAAATGCGATTTTTTTTTTTAAACATTTGAACAATAATACATTTGACAAGCTGCAAAATAGAACAGAATGGTGATAGAAAATTGACTTAAACTTTTAAAAAAGAAAGCTGTCAATAATCCAAAGTTGTCAAAGTAAGCTGAGAACATGTGTCTGGTTGCGTAGCCTTTTTCTAATAGTATATTTGTGACACAAAAAACAAACAGGTTTCTTACATGTAGAAAGATACTCACATATTCTCTGATACACCGTGGTCACAGGCCCGGTCACTTCTCCATACAGAGGTCTGATGGAGAAAATATATGTCCGACCATAGAGGAGGTCACCGATCTTAAAGGAGGTGAAACCAGGACCCAGAGTCTCTGATTTGGACTCCAACACTAATAACAGACAACAGGGATTTTTTTTTTTTTTTTTGCTGAAAGAACATTTCTTCTTATTTTCTAAAAAGCCAGCATCAAATCTGTATGAGTCACTGATAATGGAACTAAAGTCCCACACTTACCTGAGATGTGCCTCCAGGACAAAAGGTAACCTGAGACCCCCGCTACTCGTGTCCAGTTAAGAACAGTGCTGCTGTCTGTGGTGTTCAGAGCCGCAAAACGGTTCACCTTTGGGAGATCCACTGCAATGAACACGTACAAAAAAAAAAAAAAAAAAACATTAGTGAAAGATGAAATCTTTGACTAGGAACAACTCCTGGTTTGGAGAAGCCGGACTCACAGGTACGAGCAGTGACCAGGACTGGACTGCCCTCCCTGTGGGCCACCATGGAGGACACCTGGATCTTATACGCTGAGCTTTCCTTTAGCTGCTGGATGGTGTAGGTGGTGGACGCAGCAGATACGACATGGAACCTCTCCTCACCCCCTAGTGTCCAACAACAAGTGTCTGAAGAGTTAATTTTCTACAAATATGACAAAAGCCACAAGAAAATGCTGACATTATGTTGCTAAAAATTGATATTTATTTGAACAGAAAAATATTTTAAAGTAATGAAAATGGGTTTTTGGCAGTTGTTTACCAGACAGATTAAACAATGACTCAGTAATGACTTTTGGCTCAAAGACTTTTGACGTGTTTTTGGCAATTTTTTTTAGCTATTTATTGGTTATGTAATTGCTAGCTAGTTGAACTCTGTTTTTAGCTGACTCTGACGGCTACTATTTACCGGCCATCATCAAGTTATTACTGAGGTAAAAACAGGTTCCATGTTCTTAGTTTTCGAAGCTAACTTTGAATTATCTTCAGCTAAATTTACAACTCATTTATATTTTAAAACCTATGGATTAAAACTTTAAAAACAACATTTAGAACATGTGTGTGTGTGTGTGCTGACTTACCTAGGAAGGGTACCCAAGTTATTTTGTACCCAGAAGCCCCTGGTGTTTTGCTCCATGACAAGGTAAAGAAATTTATGCCAATGTCCACCACCTTCACGCCCCTCACTGCCGGGATTGGGTCTGAGTCTGAAACAGTAGCTGAAAAAAAAAAGGATGCAACTTGTCACTTCATGTACATCACACTCTGGGTTATTTTAAACTATGTGGAGGTTTATTTTAAAAACATGTTGCCAAAAAAGAAAACATCTTAACTGGATGAACTCTTTTTCCTCCAGGCAGATTAAACCCCCTACTATTTAATACTGGGATAAAATGACACACACACACACACACAAACTTTGACAGCGACAGTGATCAGATGATCGCAGCCCTGCTGACTTACACTCTGTGACACAGATTACAAGTGACAGCAACAGGAACTGGTGGTTAAAATAGGAAAACCAAAGTATATGACGTGTCAGTCAAACGGAGACACCACAAGGCCCCGGCGGCACGGCACAAGGGACCTCCCTGGTGCGACCCATTTAATTACAGTGGCCTCACAGCTGCATGCAGATATTTATATCTGAAGATGAATCATGATCAATGAAAAAACTACAGTGAAATCCTCACTTTTGTTTTCGTACCTGTGAGCTGAGACAGGGAGATTTCTGGTCCCTCCGAGTTGCCGTATATCGCGGCGATGGTGATTGTGTAGGTGGAATGTGGGCTCAGGTCTTGGATGCGGTTAAAGAGGACGCTGTGGTCCAGGTAACGAGACTGGGGGCTGCTGATACCTGTCAGCGTACGAGTGCATAAACGTCAGTGAAGAATTTATGAAATATAAATATTACAGGTTACCGAAGAATTTATGAAATATAAATATTACACGTACAGGTTACCAAAAAAAACGACCTGTTTTCCAGGTGAGTTTATATTCCGTGGCTCCTACGATCGGGCTCCACTCCACATCTATGGAGGTGCTAGTGTATGAGGTCACCTTGAAGTTGGACACGTAGCCCAGAGGAGCTGTGAAAAGGAAATATCAAAACTTTAGTGACTCTTCTTGTAGAGAACGTCAGTTTGTGATGTTCTGGAGGAAACGGGCGAATGAATAAATGACACAGTTCCTGAAACACAGTCGTCTTTGTGAAGTACAGGTAAATGAAAGTGAATTAAATACTTGCAGTACTCACAGGTTCTAAAGGTAGCAGTGACACCAGGTCCCACCACAGACCCAAACAACACATACAGAGTCAGGACGTACTCCGTATTGTGGGCTACGTTCTTTAGATGATAGTCTGTGGTGCTGCCGTTCAAGGCCAACTGTCTGGGCCGATCCTGCCCCGAAAATTCTGGAGAAAAAAAAAAAGCAAAATCATGTGATCATATTACTTATTTAATTACATTCTGCACATCATACTGCCCCTTACAGTAGCTGTACAGTAAAACTTTATATCAGCAGCATTTGTTCCTAAAAGTCAAAAGCATCTTATTTAAGGCATTGATTTTCCAAGTAGACAAATATTCTATTCAAACAAATTAGCATTTTATTATCACGGCCAACTCTACCCTGAGATTGCATAGCTGATGTTACATAGGGAGGAGCAGTAACATGCTGGTCACTGCCCCTCAGGCAAGCTAAGGTTCATTTGCTGTTAGTAAGAACGCTAAAGATTTTGTGTGGTTCAACTTTAATTTTTGTAAACATTTAAAAATAAAATGTAGGCTCATCTAATTGTTATCTTCATATAGTGTGTGTGTGTGTGTTCTTACCTGGAGTAGGTCCCCAGGCCAGTCTGTACCCTGTGGCTCCGGGGACACTGTTCCAAGAGATGACAGCTGAACTGGTGGTGACGCCAGACACTTTTAGAGTCTGAACTGCACTGCTCTCCACTGCGGGGAAAAAAAATTAAAAGTTTTCCTCATTGTATCATTACATTTATATGCGTATTTTAACAGCTTATATTTACATGTTTTTGCTTTAGTTGTAGTGACAGGCCCCTCAGTGTCTCCAAAGATGGGGTTAATAGTAACTGTGTACTCAGAACCCGAATGGAGACCCTGGATCATGTAGAAGTTAAAGTTGTCCCCGAGGTTTATGTTCTCTATGTGATCGTCTAAAAAAGAAGAACAAAGCATCGTTTACCCAAGAACCATACACTCAGAGTCTCTGTCTTAAAAAACTGCAGTTTGTCTACAGTACTTTGAGATGCCCATGTCAGACGATATCCTGTGGCTCCACGGACGGAGGCCCACCTGGCTTGGAACGTGTCAGTGGTGGCGTTTTGAACCAGGAACTGTTTTACTTGGACTAATTTTACTGTAAAACAGAGACACATCGTGTATTTGCTTTTTTAATGGCCACAAAACTAGAGAAATTACAGCCTTTTGCTTTTTATCCCCAAGACCAACACCTCCCTCCTGTGGACATCTTACAACACTACAGCACTTGTCTTAGAGCGATTCATGCTACTTTATGAGTTGTTTTCTGCACATTTATCAGTTTCACCTCGTAAAAAACAGTACAGAGGAAGTGACCACACCCCCACCTACATCCTGAAACAAAAGGTCTTTGGACTTTTCCTGTAGTGGCACTTTTCACCTACAATAGGCCTGAACAATATAAACACGTGACAGTGAAACCATAGATTTAAACTCACACGTCCTGCCATCTGCCGACACTGGTTCACTTGGTCCCTGTGGGTACACAGCGTACATGTGGACAGTGTACTTTTTGTCCTCCTCCAGGCTGTCGATCACATGAGAAGAAGTGTCTCCAGGAAGTAGCTGCTCATAAGCATATCCTGGTCGGTTGGCTGTGGAAGAAGACAAAAATGTACCTCACAAGACAACGGCTGAAGTCATGATGGATTTCCATATAGAGAAATTGTTATGGGCCACACAAGCTCAATTTCTACTGGGCCAGACAAGAGCTGGTGATCCACGGGTTGAATATCAGTCTTGTTGTGAGTACTGCTCCCTATACTGCCCCCAAATATTTATCACTATTTCCCTTTAGCTTCCATTACTGCCACCTACTGCATCTATTTGTAAGTTCACACCTAGGAATATTCCTTACAGAAATAACACATTACCAGATCACCATACTCTCAGAAGCTACATTGTCATACAAATAAAATCAAATTTTATTTGTATGGCAATGTTCATACCCTGAGGAAAAAATGTGCCTCACAAAAGCTAAAAACAATAAGAAAAAAAAATTGATCACCATACTCTCAGAAGCTACATTGCCATACAAACAAAATTAAATTTTATTTGTATGGCAATGCTCATACCCTGAGGAAAAACAATGTGCCTCACAAAAACTAAAAACAATAAGAAAAGAAAATGAAAAAGCATCCCAAGGAGTACCTTACCTAAATATTTTTTTTATATAGAAATACCTTTAAATGATAAGAATAAGAATAAACTTTGTTACAGTGGTACAGGAGCGTGGCATTGTAAAATGTTAGCATACATCTGGGGATGAAGATCTTGAATCCGTTAAGTTTCCCTAGTGGAGGAGTCCAGCCAAGACGCAGGGAAAACAATCCCTCCTCAATAACACGGAAATTGGACACCCGAGGTAAAGGAGCTGGAAGAGAAAGGAAACGGCACTGAAATATAATATAAATACACGTAGTACTGTAAAATTAAATTTGTGTAAATTAAATTTCTTACATACTCTCATACGTTATTGCATACTTTCCCAAAAATAAAAAATAAAAAAGCGAAAATGGGCGTTTAGCAGTAAGAATTTATAGATGTTGCACTTTAACTGAGTACATTTTGCAGTAGTATTACACACGTGTGTCTTTGTACTCACTTGTCTGAACGGTGACTTTCACAGAGTCTCCGATCATGTTGGGGTAGATGGCGTAGACAGTGAAGGTGTAGTCTGTTTTTGGACTCAGCTCTGTGACCAATGATGAACTCACATCTGCCTTCAAGTCAAGCTGTTACAAAGACACAAAGTTCAAATGACTGGGTTACAGTAGTTCAGTTACTTCGTCAACTTTGTCCACTTTACTATATATTTACTGGCTAACTTTTCATGTTGTTCATTTTCATGACTCTTTATGCTCATTTTTAGACATTTTTTGAATTATTTCTGTCCATGTAAACATTATTTATTTGTGCTTAATCTTTCATTTTAACTAAATCGTTAATTTAGTTAAAATTAAATAAAATATAAATTATAATAATTTATTATATATATAATATATTATAATTTAATATAAATTATTATAAATTTAGTTACTTTCTTAGGTAATGGTTTGGGGAATGACTCGTTTAGCTATTTTGCATCAATCACGTCATAATTAGAAGACTTTTAGGCATTTTCATAACAATAACAATTTAACACTATAATTTGTTCGGCAATATTTGTATCTGTTATATATGCTGTGTGTATTCAATGTGCCTATAATTTTAAATGTCACAGGAGGAGTGTTATGCAACTGAATTACAGATTCAGATTTCTCCTTTAAATATTTATGACCTTATAAACCATGGTCCTGTTCAGTCTGAAACCTCATTTAATACACTGTGTCTACAGCACCTCATTGGAATTGCAGAAATGTACAAGTTGTTTTAAAAACTACCCAAGAACATCTTTTCCAGGTTGGAATGTTGGAACGCAGCTGTCACTGTGCACATCTTCTCACCGTTTTCTCTTTATGATGGAGGGGGTTTCCTCTGGAGGTCAGAGGAGTGACCAGGAGGCGGTATCCTGTGACATCACCTGTGGCCTGACTCCAGGTCAGTCTGAGGGAACTGTAGGCCAACTCACTGACCTGCAGATCTCTGGGGCCCACAGTGGGCTCTTCAACTGGAAGTCAGGGTAAAAAAAATGAAGGAAATGTAGAAGAAGAAGTGAAGCAAGTGTAGATGGCAGATGAAAAATGAGACTCTGGGTCTGGATGTGAAGTTTGTCTGAAAGATAAATCCATCTTAGAGGAGAAAGCTCCACTGTAGTGTGAAATAAAACAAAACCATTACTCATTTCTATGATACTTTTCATGCTTTACAATGGAATTGAATTCATCAGTATAAAAAATATAAACTGTCAGTGTGAAAGGAAGCTTGGAATCTAAACATTAAGAGATAGATTTTTTGTTTTTCAATGTTTGAATGTCCTCAGGAGTTGTTTTTGTTTAACACACCAGGTTCAGGAGATTTCACAGGGCGCGGTGGTTCAGAAGCTGTGACGCAAACTCTGCGCGACACTTTAGGAAAGATGTTGTCCAGGAGGTAGTAGTCAGCGGCGATAAGTAAGTGCTCATCATGAGGCTCCGACACAATCCTCCTCAGCTCTAACTCATCAGCTCCTCCTAAGCCTGGTCACAGCATCAGACAAAAACACAACATCTTTGTATGTTCCCATTAAAATCGCCAGGGGGAGCTCGTGCATTGTCAGTAGAGTGTGTTTTAAAGTTCACTCAAATCTTTCTGTCTCAAAAATGTTATACCTCATGTTTTAATGAATCTATTGTGTGTTGCTATCTTTAAGCTAATTTGCTAACATTTAGCTTTTTTTCATTCTAGTTAGATCTTAGATTGACTTTTAGACACTTTTTACATTTGTGAGTTTAAATTTAAATGAGCCGTACCTTAAGTGACCTCATAAGAAGTCAGAACAAAAACTGCTAAAATTAGCCACATTAAAGCTAAAGAAAATGTCCAAAAATCATAAAACTAAAAGTATGGTTCAAATTGTCCAGATATAAAAAGTACACTACAACAGCTAATCATTAGCCAAAGGGTAAATTAAAGGTCAACCCAAAAATATGTATCTGATCAAGAAAGGTTAAACTAAAAATAACAATAAAAAACTGTGAAAAACACATGGTTTGTTGTAGCTTTTCATCATCTCTACTCCAAAAAGTTATTTCAGCGTACAACACTATGTCAATATCCAAGCCATATGTATGTCCCTGTCAAATTTATATCAACAAGGGCCTGGAAATCCACTATCAGTCAGGCTCTGGTGCACACACCGGCATGACTGCACTCAAAAACAATAATCTTGCACATCCTCACAAACACCTGCGCTGAATCTAATGAATTCAAATGTACAAGACATGAATTTTCAACAGCGAATGGCAAACTGGAGATGAGCAGAGAGAGATCAGATAAAAATCTCAGAGGCGAACGCCGACGGAATTCACAATGCGGAATAACACTGCACTCACCTACTGCAAATACAGAAATGCCACCGTCAGCTGCAGCAGTGGCTGCCTCATCAATCCGGTCGTCTGAAGGTCCGTTAGTGATCAGAAGAGCAATCTGTGTACAGAGGACGCAGAAAATTACAGACAATTACATTCATAATGAATCACATTTTATTCTTATCTTTGAGAAATGCTTAAACAATGAACAAGAGGAAACACCCAAAAGCTGATAAACTTAGATGAGGTCTCCTTAGAGCATGAAGGGTAAAGTGTGACCTTTAAATGAGACCAAATGTTAAACTTTCTCCAATAATTCCTAAAGGTACAATTAGCACCAGAGAAGAAAACCAGAAAGAAATCCATAAACTGTGAAGCATGGAGATGAGCTTCGTCCTTTATGGCCGGAACTCAGGATTTAGATGACAGATTTTCAAATAATTGTACTTACATGAACCGGAATAAAAATCCATTATTAATCAAAAAGAAATGGTCAGAAATGGTCTAACTGGACCAATAAGACTGTCAGTTCAAACATCAATTCACCCCAAATTTGAAACTTCCAGAACTTCTACAAGACATTGTCACCAACGGTTATACAGGATACTTTTAGTCTTGTCCTTTTAGAAGACAACATTCAGGATGAGATTTTCTTCTATTCTGCTTGGGCATCATGGTGGTGGGTGGTTGGACATCTTGCCTTACGGCAAGTCGATCAGTGGTGTAGTCCCTGTTGGCCACTGATGGTCTTTCTGTATGAAGTTTCTACCAGTGTTTGAGAGTTCTCTCTTTGTACTCTGGGTTCCTTCCTTAGTCTAAAATCATACAGGATGTGGTTAACTGTTCATTCTTAATTGAGCATGAATGGTTGTAAGTTTTTATATGTGTCCTGGTGATGGATTATTCATTTGTCCAAGGTGTAGCCCACTCTCACCTGACTGATTTCAAAAGGAAAAAAGTTCTGAAATGAAATATTTTGACTTCACTGTTTTACACTGACCAATTCTACCCACTGTATGTCCTAATGGAATGTTGTAAGTTATCTCCATATCTGATGCACATCATCAATTTCTATTTCACACATGTATTGTAGCATAGCTCACAACGGCACGGAAAAATCTACAGTTTACAGTTGCTCTGCAAATAAGGAAAGGCAGTGAATTTTTTTTCTGTGAAGGTAAATTTACAGAGTTCATTCAAAGTTCAGTGAGTGAAGGTGGAGACCTGAAAGCATCAGGATGAGAACACTGCTGCTGTTTGACACGAGCTCCGGCTGTACAGTTTAATATATCAGCCTTAATCCTCAATTCTCTGCCTTCTCACATCAAGTGTGCTGCTGTGAGATGATTCACAGTCAGGGAGATGATGGGAATGTTAACCAACTGTCTTCCACTGAGAGTGCACCACAGCATTAGGCTGTCAGGGTAATGTCTGAGAGGCATTCAGGGGAGATAAGCTTCCTTTCACTGGCTGACTGTTGCATCTGCTTCAGGGTTAATCAAGGTAATAATCAAACACTGTTTCATCGTGGAACTCCTGACACCATTAACACTAGACAGCATTTCACTTAAAATACAGTAAAGCTTTGAGGTGGCGTATGCAGAAATCTTGAGCAGGAGAAATAAAGCATATAATTAGGAGATCTTTTTTTTTATGAGCTACTGGTATAAAGTAGAAATCGTGACTTTGCTTACACAGCTGGGCAGAATTACATAGACACACACAGATGCAGTAGGTCACCTATGACCTCTAGGCAACAAACTTTCCGGGTCAGAATGTAAATACCACATATGAAGGAAGATTTAAAGAGGCCTCGTACCTTTGGGGAATTATCTCGAATGATGGCCGGGCTAAAGGCCGTATCGACCAGGAACCTGAGGGCTTCACCGGTCCTCCTGGATCCACCGTCATACGGCAGGTCTCTGATGGCTGTCAGCACCTGTTCCACTGATCCATAGTCTGTCAAAGCGATCCTCATCCTGTTAATTGAAAAGTAGCAGAGAAACAGGGTATTGTAAAAATACAATTGAGTAAGTTATAGAGAAACAGGGTATTGTAAAAATACAATAGAGTAAGTTATTATAACTTTTCAAATCTTTTAAAACATCTTCTGGGCAACTTTCTGTCCCAACAGGATCTCATTCTTCTATCACTCAATTTGAAAGTTTGAAAGTGTTTGTCACCTGATTGAATATACACATTTTACACATATTATACAGATATTTCTATAAATGTGTTAGCATCTTACCTTGGCACGTCACTAAAGACGGTAACACCAAATCGGACCCCTTCGTCCCCCATCACACTGTCCTGGAAGGAGCTGATGATGGAGGAGATGAAGTTCTTGACACTGGAGAAGCTGGTCTGACCCACGGCCCATGACTCATCCACCAGAAAAACTATGTCCGCCTGCGCCACCGTCCTACATGCTGAGTTGAGGAAAAAAAAAAAAAAAAAGAGTACAAACTTTTATGGCTTTTTATTTCATCATTTTGTTAGTGATTTAATAGAGAACCACAATTTATTTAAGGGCATTAACAGAGAATTTTAAACATGATATTCTGAAAGTACCCACTATATGAATTTATATTTGAAAAAGACATGCATTTCCAAAGGGGCAGCTTTGTCATGTCACCCCTTTCAGAAACAACTGCTTGACTACAGTCTAGTATTCATGTCCTAACGAGAGCTGTTTCGTTTCATTTCACTTCTTATCCACTAGATAGCAGTGTTGCCACATCACTTTTCCTTCGCTCTCACCCTTGTGTTGCGGTAGGAACAGCACAAATCCCAATGAATTTTTAATGAGGCACAAGTGAGCCAAAGAGACCATCAATATTCCGAGCACTCTGGCAATAAAACTTTGGAGGAGTCGACCAAGAACGATCAGAATAATTAGGAAAGAACACACTAAAAGAAATCAGGAACCGACGGTCGTATGAACGGTAACATTTATCATGGATACCTGCCACAGTTAGGGTAAAATGAGAATATCAGCATCTCTGATGCTCAGACCCTCCAAAAGGAAATCTTCTGCATTTGCAAACGCCCCTCAAAAAAATCAATATGCTGGCATTATACATGCAATAAAGCAGAGTGAGGACAGCATTGATTGGGCTGAGGAATAAGAGATAGGAGCTGCTGATTGTTCTGTAAGTGATAACTATGCCTCTCTGCTGTCCTCTATTCCATTATCAGGCTTTCGCTCCTCTATTATCACACCCTTTCTTCCTTTTGGCCGCAATTCCAGCATTCACTGGGGGTGGGTGACATATGTCTCCAGCCCATGGGGACCTAACATTATGTTCTCCCCTCACAACACCTATACATCTCTGGCTGGCTGTGCACCAGGCAGCCAAGGGAAAAAAATGGACTTTTCTGTGGATATTTCTCTGATGCAGCGACATTCCCAGTTCCTGGGATCTATTTTTCCACCCCGAGTTATTTTCTGTAAAAGCACATAAAACATGGCAGAGACTGTAAGGAAAGGAAGCAGCTGGAGGTTTTTGTCTCTGTCAGACAGATGCAGACTAAAGCAGAAAACAAGATCAATTATCCAGGAGTTTGTCTGTCTGCTGTGGCAGCTGAGAACCACATGCTGGAGATAAGGAGGAAACACACGCTGAGGGATAAAGAACGGCTCTTCGTGAAGGTTATCTATGTTGATATCTCAAAGGGTTATATAAATTTATATCTGTGTTCAGAGTCTGGGTCAGGGGCCAAACGTGGGCACTGGGAAATGTTTTTAACGGCCAATTCGGAAGACGTTTCCATGTTGACTACTTGCTATCATTTGGTCTTTTAATTTGGTAGTTATTTCCTATCTGATTTTATGTTATCTTTAAGCGACCTCATACCTTATTTATTTACTCATTTGCATAGAAATTTATTGGCTATGTTTTTGCTTTTACTATACTTATATTTATTTGGTTGACTGACAACATTGAGCCACAACCCAGCAACTTTCTACTTAAAATAAAATAAAATTATTTCTCTCTACATACATGGTTACATTGGACTATTTTTAAGCTGATCTCTAATATCTACATATTTAATGTTACATAAATACAGAGCTTTAAGACAAAAGGCTAATAAGAACACTCATTAGTAAAAATCTCGGGGGTGGAAGGGTTAGACATTTATATCTTAAAGATTTATTCATTAATTTTAGTTTCTCCACAGAAGCAACAACAACTTCACAGCAAACTCACAAACATGTTTTCCTCGTGACTGAAGAGAGCGGTAGAAAACGAATGGAACTTATAACTCTGGCACACACTGAGCAACACTTTTCTTAGGGTTTGGTCTGCAAATTGGGCAATCTGAGAAAAAATCGGAGCTTCTTCATCTGCTCAGTATCTGAA